AATCGGATGCTATGGACAATTGTGAAAGGAAATCAGCATAATTGCCATGAAAATAAATGCAACAATGCAAAAAAATCTTAATGGTCCAGAAAATAGTCCTCATTTTCTTTGTTATTTTTTTCTTTTGACTTTAGAAATACATCTAACCCTTACGGCAGACCACTTCAGCTTCTTCTAGGTTCTGTCGGATATGTCCAAATACAGATAAACATGTAGGTACAGTATAAACACCTTGAAGGTGGGTGGGACTCCTGCTGACTGACAGGAAAAATGGAGCTGATCACAAGGGCTTAATCTTAATGCAGCATGTCAGAGGGGCCATCTGCACAGTCAGTGGGGGTTTTGGGAAGTACGGCAGTAGTGGACAAAGCAAACCTGCTCTTTCTTGCTCCCTTGTAGTAGCGCAGCATCCAAAGCAGCAGAGATCCTAAACACAAGGCTTAAAAGTTCAGAGCATCTACCTACTGTAATACAGCAAACCTTTTTTCAAGTCATGGACCCTTTAAAAGCTACAAGAAACATCTATTTACCACCTCTTTTTCCTCTCTCTCTCCCATATGTTCGTCTCAATGCCTCTCATACTCCAACTTTCTCAGTGTTTTTCCTACGTGTGAACTATACCGAGTGAGGGAGAGCGGGACAGTGAAGCAGAGGAGACGAAGAGGAGGTCTGTGTAACCATATGCATGGATTCTGTTCATTCCACACCTATCCTGCATGACCAGACTCCATATAAGGGCCGCCGCGTCTGCCAAAGAGCAGCGGCTCACAGTCCCGTGGTGAGAACGGATAAAAATATGATCTGTCGTCCCTGCATTCTTTCTTCCAGACTTTTACTACCTCGCTCATGAGATGGCAGAGATAACATTTTCTTTCCTTAATCAGCACAGAGTATGCGAGCAAACAATGGAAGACCAACTGGACATTTTGTTCCTTATTCTCCTGGTGGTTTTATAGACTTTTAGAGACTTCTTTAAGAGACTTAAAATAAAATTAAAACAGTTCTTGCAGAGACAAAAGAGATCTTTTTGTTGCCATGATACCAATGTGATGTGAGTGATTGTCAGGACGTAGTTTTGTTCTGTGTCATTTTTAGTATGTTGGTATGTGGTTGCTACTGCTAGGGTGTTCTTGGTCACTAGGCAAATCGCTGAGATCTGTTTTATTGTTCACAAGCAAAAATTGTGTGTATGATGATCATTTACAAAATAGCAAAAATCAAGCCATACAATTTAAGATATCATTCATGTCTGTAATAAAACAGTGTAGTTTTAAGTTGGCAATATATAAAATTGTGTGTGTGCGTGTATGGTATGTATGTATGTATATATGTATATATATGTATATATGTATATATGTATATGTATATATATATGTATATGCAGTGGGTACGGAAAGTATTCAGACCCCCTTCAATATTTTGTTACAACATTTGTTTAATTAAAATGTTTAACATTTTGAGATTTTTGTTCTCCTGTCTAATATGGCACAGCATTACATACGGTCCTGCTCCATTATGATCCTACAGTGTAAACACACAGCATATTGTATGACACAGTCATTCTGCTGTGAGTAATGAGCTAATTATCTATTACATAATGAGTAAATACAGCCCACAAACCTTAATCGGGCCAAGCAGGACGACAGGAAGTATTGAATAAGAAAATCATGCAAGATATTTTTAATGGTTCTTAGTCATTGAGCTCAACATGTGAAGTTTATTTCCATCTGAGAGAGAGTGTGGAGCTTGATGACCCCTGACTCCACCCTTGACCATCTGCTACCCTTCTAGGTTACATTTACTGACATGACACAGCAAACAAACCCCTACACTATCTGTTCTCATCTCATCTGACTATGTGACTCAAACATTTGGGATTATGAACAAACAGTCTGACCGGAACGGTGAATATTAGTGTGGGCGGAACTTGGCTGTGAAAAGTGACACTACTTGATAAGGAGATTGTGGGATTGGGGTGCGAATCTTTGGACCTTTTACAACACTACTACAGTAAGCGTATCAGGAGCCGCGTCTGCCATCTGTTCTCACTTCCTCAGAGGGCAGATATATGCACTTACGGAAAACACACACAAATGGACACCCGATTGGCTTTGTTTGAAAGGATGCGCTCACGTGAACGTGTTTGCTAATGCTGGGAATGTCACGGCAGATGTTCACAATGCACTGGAAGTAAATGAGATTCATTTGAATCCAAATTAACAAAACAACATGTTCACATTTATGCACATCACACATAAAAAAAAAGGTATTTATTACAGAGAGAGTGACTGTCACAGTATACTGCAGGAAATAGAGATGCATGAAACAGTATAATCTGTAATTTGTTTAATTATTAGTAAATAATACATATATGTTGGCTATATAATTGCATATTTAATTGAGCATGCTCATTTGCCCATTTTTTAATCGATCAATTGGTCATTTCTTTGAAAAAAATACAAAAAATAAATACAGAAAAATACTGTGAAACCTTATTGCAAGTAAGAATAATTGTTTTCTATTTCTATTCTTTTTTTAAACTATTAGTAAATATTGCATATATTTTGGCTATATAAATCACATATTTAAGAATGCATGCTCATTTCTCCAATTTTTAATTGATGACTTGATCATTTATTTGAACAAAAATGCCATAAAATACAGTGAAAGCGTATTGCAATTTTCAATAACTGTTTTCTATCTATTCTATAAAATTATTAGTAAATAAATATTATATATATATTGGCAATATATTTAATTGTGAATGCTCATTTCCACAATTTTTACATTTAGATTACCTTTGTAATCATCTAATGTTTGCTTAATCTTTAAAAACACTAATAATTATTAACACTGTTAAATATAATCTTTAGAAAATCTCAAATTAATTATCCATTTTCATACTGTATATTATAGTGTAATGTTCTGATGCCTAAATTCACTTTAAGCATTTAAAACAACTGATTAAAGTTTTTTTCTTTTCTTTTCTTTTCTTTTATTTAAGACAAATGAAAATGTATTTAGAAAAAAAAATAAAAATATTAAAAAAATTAGACAATTTTTTTGTACTATTAGCCAAAAAATCTTTTTTTAAATAATTATTAATAATTATTGTTTATCATATCAGTCAGAATTTTATTATTCATGCATCCCTAAATGGAAGAGAGAGAAAGCGTGCTCACGAATCCAGTGAACTAGCATGTGGGCTGAATGAATGAAGAGAGAGATACGAGCAGAGGAGGCAAATGAATGAGAGTTGGCTGACTAAAGGGGTTTGCTGTATCATATCTCATAATTGAACAGGTCTCAAAGGAGCATTCAAGCCTCATTCCACTCATTCCTGCTCCTTTATCCCTCCTTTGAATGCCTCTCTCTCCTGAGAATTTGACGTGTTCATTTAACTGATCAAGGTTCTTTTGAATATTGATCTAGTTCATCTAGATAAACCCTCTCATGACAGAACCTGACTTCATCAGTCAAATGCTCCAGCTTACTTTACTAAGCAGACCGAGTGGGGTGTCATATGGGTTAAAACCCACCCATCTTGCACCGGATTACCCAAAAACGTCACCCAAGCCTTCATCAAACAGGCGGTGTGAATGAATGACGACGAGCCCCTCATTAGCCTCACGGTTCAGCCTAGGCAGAAGCAATGCAGGGCCAGAGTCACATGCAGCAATACCATTTGAGTGTTAAAGGTCTCTGACATCCAACTGAGTTCAAAGTTAACTCTACAGACACTGCGGGGTACAGACAGTCTTTCCTTAAGTTGGCAGTTCTTTGCCAAATGCCAATGGTGAAAACTCAGGCTATGCCAGACTTGCATAGACTAGACTAAATACATAAAAACATCTTCCTGTTGAAAAGAGGTGGTGGTATAACGATAACAGTTAATGTCTATGCCACATGCTGTAGACTGCAGGCCCTAAAAATACATGGGAAAATGCTAAATTACAGCTTACACCAGAGCTAAAAAATCCAGCACGAATGAAGGAGAATAAAACGGCAAAAGTCAGGATGGGCATGTGTTAAAATATGCCTGCAGAAGAGAAATGGATGTTTTAAAATGCTATATTAGTCTACAATAAAAGTCAGATTGAAAGAAAAGAGCAGCAATCTGCAGCTAAGTCATATAGACTTTGTTGAATAGTTGTCCATTTTATGCAAAAACAAAAAAGATCCACTTATCTAGTGAACCAAACAAACTGCTTTGATTCAGCTTCATTCGAGATGTCTGATGGCTCTTGGCAAGCCATTTCCGAAAACAACACTAAAAGACAAATAGAGCTATTTCTTAAATGCCTTGTACTGATGTTCTTCAGTAATCAGATCCAATCTGCAATACATTTTTTTTCTCAGTGCCAGGAGCACCGTTTCGTATCATAGCATTTCAGCAGATGAAGCCTTTTCGCTACTGAACACTGCAGTATTATGACCAGTATATTCCAGTTTACAGAAGAGAAGAGAAACCATATTTAGACACTTAACTGACCAACATCTAAGTAAGAAAAAAACGAGATTAGAAAAAAAGCAACATTTAGGAATGCATGACATGTTGGTTAATTGTATATTGAATGTAATTTAATGTATATTTAATTGTTCATGCTCATTTCCAATTTGCCAATGTCTAAAACTTTTAAATCTTTTCATTTACTTAATCTTTAAAACCCCTAATTTAAGAGCACTGTTAAAGGTAATCTTTAGCCAATCTCAAAATTAACATTCACTTAAATTTAGTGGTTTATTTGTAATTTATTTACTGGCCATAGCTTGAAAATAATTATGGCTTATCAGCCAGAATTTTAATATCCATGCATCCCTACCAATATTGTTTTTCCTACCAATATTGTTTTTTGTTTATAAGGTGCAAGCATAAAAGTCATCAAAACTAAGTTTACATTATTTCCTGCCAAATATTCTGATTCACGCAGAGATATGTCACATTACAGAAATAAAATGCATTGCGAATATGTCTTAAATCCACGTAATCCTCCTCTTACCTGGTTCTCCTCCTGGACGACTCTGTACTGCTCTTTCCACACAGTGATCTTCGACACCTCGTCCTTGCGCAGGGCACGCTCTTTTTTCAGCTCAGGGCTCCAGAAGGTCTTAATGGAGTTCATGGAAGAGCTGAGTTTGCTCTCCTTCACATCCACCTCCTTCCGCAGAAGCTCGTTCTCCCTAAGCACCTCCTTGAGCTGGGCCTGCAGGTCCATGATGGTGTTGTCCCGCGCCTGGCGCAGCGAATGAGGCACAGTGGACGCAAGGGTGGAAGGCATATGGTGGTCTCCGAAAGCGATAGCATCGGTGGAAATGGAGCCGGGAGCCCCGGTGGAGATATTCGGGCTGGATCCCATGACGGTCGTGCGGACGCCGTACGGCACCCGTCCTCCCGAGCGGCCCAGCGTCATGGTGCTCTTCGGCAGGTCCGGGCCGGACGCCACCACCTCGTTGTCACTCAGGTACATGGGGCCGGATGTGGCATAGGCAGCGTTGAAAGACTGGATGTTCTCCATGGAAAGGGTTTTACCACCTGGACCTCCCGCGCCGGCTCCACTGCCCCCTGTGCTGTTGGTGCGGCGGTGGCCCAGATGGGGCGAGCGAGGGAGATGGGGCGAGCGGCCGGGACTCTGATTGCTCCCACCACTGTGGTTGCCCTCCACTTTGCCCACGGATCGGGCACTACCGTACATGGCGGTTTTGACTGGAGAAGGGCAAGAGTGAAGAGAAAAAGACGATATGGACTAATTAGATGATTTCTGTAAATCTTGAAGGGTCTGTGATCTACTTTTGGCTTATTTTAAGCATTCAAAGATGCAGATGTTTCATTTTCACCATATGAATCTGGGTGTTGAAGAGTGGCTGGTTTTATCCGTTTAATCTGGTCATGTTATATTCCTGCAACAGAGAGAGAGATAGAGACAGAGTTAAAACCATTCATGTCACATTTTCATTGAGATAGCAGCGCTCATGCAGAGTTTTCCCCGGCGTCTGCTGCCTTGCACTCTTCTCAGAGAGGAAATAATAGGCTAATGAACAGGTCTGGCACAATGTATGCTTTAATCTCCTTCGCTGGACTCTATGTAGGTAACTCACATGCCACACTGTATTTACTTTAGCTCTGTGGCTTCTGTCCAATACCCATGCTGCACTCTCAGCTCTACGTCTCTCTTCATCTTCTCCACACAGTCTTTTCCTCTGCCTTCTTCATCAGTGGCAACTTGCTTTAACATTTGACAGCTTTCATATAAATAGTAGCTGAGATGATATCATGCAAACTTATTTTATGAGTATGAATGACACAACAGTCGGCATTCTGAATCTCTGATGGTAACCAAGGCATGAATACTACTGTTCAAAAATAGATTTTTTTTCTAATATTTATATATCTTTTAGTTTAGATATTTTCAGATGCAGTGCTTCAATTAGCATGCTAACAGTGTGCTGTGGTTTACCTGTTGTCATCCCCTTTAGCACATTGCATCTAAAGAAATAATTATCTATGACTTCCATAAGAACGATTAGCTGAATAGTCATTCATTCATTTGAATTTCAAAATATAATTTTTTTAATAAAATATTTAAAATAAGCTATTTTTTTCTAACTTTTTTAAACACTGATCGTGTAACCTGAAAAAAACTGCTTGCTTGATTCGAGTCTCGTGAGGTTTTCTCAGAGACTGTGGCACCTCTTTACAGGCAGATTACTTCAGTATAACACCTGGATATATGCGTAACACCCGCAGTTGAACCATGGCAGACATTATGTGCTTCATTACAGAAGGAAATAAAATACTAACACAGACAATGTAATGCCTGTGCTATTGCTGTATTAATCAACACAAAGCCATTGAGGGGGTTGTGAAACCAAATCTCTAATCACACATGAACACAGCTACGTGCTCGTTCAGAGAGAAGAACTGTTTATTTGAGTCCAGCCACAAGCGGCAGCTGCCTTTTGTCTTGTGTGTTTATCCCTGATGAAATACTTCATTGTCTCTTGTAAAACACATCTTTGTTTTGTAGCAATACTAGGTCACATGGGACTCATACGTGATCTCTTCTATAAATGCTATTTTATCACTAAATTTAACTCATTTTGGGAAGTGGTATAGACTGTTCAATTCATCTGGTTTTTAAGTTCTAGATTATAAACCCATAATATTTGCCACAAATGCAGCTTAAGAGAAATATATTGAGAAGAGGCTGGCAGTGGACATTGGAGCCGTGTTTTGGTCCATCCCAAAAGCCAGGAAAATGTTCAGTGAGGCTGCAATCATGCCCAAGCCAATGTACTTGCACTCTCTCATTAGGAAAGAATCTAACATCAGAGTCACAATGTGTCTCAATGGAGTAAATCTACATGAAAATGAACCCAACGTGAAATATGTCGACCGCAGACTCCCTTCAGAGAGAAACTTTGTCCTGGAACTGGACTGTCAAACACATACACAAACATGTCATACAGAACATGATACAAAGAATACAGATTAAAGAATTAAAACAGTCCAGTCTCATGGAGGAACAGTTTGCAGAAGCTGTGATAGACTCAAGTAGAGAACGGAGCCGGCTACTGATAAGATGCAGAGGGGGCAGCGAGACCACAGATCTCCTTCCTCTGCTGCTTATGAACGGAAGCCAAATCATTAAAGCAGTGGGCATGTCTAACCCCGTCACATTCCCTGAAGCTGAGACAACATGTTTTAAATGCCTGCACTTATCTCACTTATGTAACAGTCTTTTTTTATGCCTTTTTTATTGAGATACTACAGTAGAGAGATGACAGGAAAGCACTGGGAGGAGAGAGGGGAGCAGGATCGGCAAAGGACCTCGAGACGGGAATCGAACTCGGGTCGCCGTGAGCGCAGCTGCACTATGTGTCGACGCACTAACCACGAGGCTATTGGCGCCGACGTAACAGTGTTTTTTTATGCATTAATCATCCTAGTCCTAAAATATACATGTAATATGTAGATATAATCAACAACTGCAGATTTGCCATTTTACCAACAACACACTACAAAATTTGTACACCACACCATTTCTACAGTGCATGAATTATCAATAATTTTTTTACTTATTACCTAATTATTAAGAACACTCGCTTTAAAGTTACAGCCTAAAAAATTATACTTAATCTTAAATTAAATAATGTAAACTAAGCGAATAATGACACTGTTTATTATGGGGTGAACTGTTCCTTTAAGAACTATGGCAGACCTCGCCATCTGGTTTGCCAGGTGGATTACACCTGGACAGTGGACACTTCAAGAAAAGGTACCCTCCCTCCATTTCTTTATCTCTCAATCCCTCCTTCCAGCCATATCTCTTTCCATTACAGCAATCTGCTCTGCTCTTCAATGGGGATTTTCACAAAGTAATGCTGCCTAATGGAACAGTAAGTTTCCATTACATTTGGCCTAAATCCTCACACATAAAAATAGGCCAAAACCAATGTTTACTATAATCGCTCACAGAACTGGAAACTATAAAAGTATTAAACTTATTTGTAATATATCTGGAACAGACTGAGTGGTATTTACAAACAAAAGTAAATAAAACCTTCTCCAAATAGTAAAAATGAATGTTTAAGCCTCCGGAAAAGCTTCCAAAAGTGAGAGAGATATCAGAGAGGAAACTAATGTGAATGAATGGAGGACATCAAAAACAGCAGAAAGACTGACTCAAACTCCACAAGAAATGCCATTATGCTATTCTCACTCATAAATGAGCTCATAACCCAAAAAGCTATCTTGTTATCTAAGTATTTTATTCTGAAATTGCTTAAAAGTATAATCAGATTAACCATTGTGGCCAAACAAAGTAAATAAAAGTCTAGTTAAAAATAATTTTAAAAAACAAGGTTTTTCACTGAAACACACACACACACAGAATCATAAATTTTCCTTTAAATGCAATCTTTGGCTTATACCTCTTATGCAAAATGCAAAATATATTTATACATTGAAAAAATAATTACTTTGAAACAATTTTCACACAAAAATTGCTAGTAAATCTCACAAATTATTACAAAGAAATGGCAAGTAACACATTAAATTAATTTTTTCAAGTAAAATGAGGTAGTAGTATTATATTGCAAGATGTACACCAATAATCTTTGTTTAAAAACCAATTATTACAAAATGTCTCTTTAAATTAAATTAATAACCAATTAAAAAGCACATTAAACTCACTGTGAATGTGATATTTGTGATGTTTCTTCATGTTATATATAGCCTGCAAAATCATAAATATATTGGGAATATTCAATATATGACCCAGTTGTACTTCTATACAGAGGATAAACACACCACAAAATGAATGTGTTTTATTTTGCTCATGACTCACGACATACAGTTAAACTGAGTCAAATCTTTTAAAGTAATGGTTTGAGTGCTGAGTCAGAATACATGATCAAACCTTCCAAGCCCACACCCTAAATTACAGTCAGCAACTCACATTTCAAACTACAAAGCTGCCTACAATAATCAATACGGTGTAAATTTAAACTAGCCGCTTGGCATTACAGTATCTTTTGGGTAAGGTCTCCTTCTCAAACATCTAACCCTATGAATTGTTCTGCCTCCCTCTCAGCTCTGTTATGGCATCAATGGGACAGTGTGTGTCTGCCTCTATATTTATAAGAGGGAACAGAAGTCAGCTTTGAGCTCACTTAAAACGCTCTGCCTGATGCCTGACGGCCTGTCACTTCACATCACTGAACATCTAGACGGCAGCTCTGATTCATCAGCATTCAAACAACTACAACCACAGCGCATTTCATTCAATCCACATCCATTCGCACATAAACTGCTCTTCTGCCTTCTAAATCCAGGTAACTGTGGGAACATAAATCAGATATCTGACAGATATGCAACCTGAGGATCTTATTCCTAATATGGTAAAGGATGAGACGGGTGACATAACTCAATAAGCAGCCAAAGAAAACATATTATATCTCTGCAGAACTTCCGATATTGATATCTAGAGACCCAGTGGAGGTTGATGGTCAATATAATGCAGATATTTAGGCCTACATACTATAATTAAATGGAAGAAAATTAGATTTACTGAAAAGAAAAATTATTAGCACCAAAGATGAACTGTTTTTTCTATGACTCGTTCCACAATTTTTGTCCAATTCTTCCCAAATTTTATCCGGACCTTGCAACATTGCAAAGTTTGCACACTGTATAAAATTATTTTTAAAGACAAAAAATAAAACAATGATTATTTGAGTATGTTTTACAAGAAAATACTATTTCAGTCTTTTTTCTTCAAAATTTCAAATTTACTTCCATGAAAAAGAAACTACTAGCAATTTCTGAGAGAAAATGGTTTCAAAGTAAATCCTATCACAGCAAAAAAAAAAATTGCACCTATTTCAACAGAAATAATGGGAAACTTAAGTTCAGTTGCTGCCTTAATTTAAAATATAATCAACTTGGTTGTGCAAGTAATTTCAACTTGCATTAAAGATTTCAAGATTTCAATTTATTGTAAAATTTCAAATTACATTAAACTGACTTATTTCATACAAATTATAAAAAAAGTTGAAATTGCTCAACTTATTTTGATGAATTAAAGTAATGTAAAAATTAGGGGCCCATAACTTACTAACCATTTAATTTTTTTTACAGTGAACATACACTATTGCTTAGTTTACTTATTGTATTGAAAACAAATTGCCAGTTTTTACGCATTATTTACTCAAAATTCAGTGCAGAAAAAAAAATGTATAGTTTCTTATCTGTTGACAAGACTGTCGGTAGAGTTTGGAACTGATTCACGGAGTAACACTTCTGTAAATCAGCTAAAAGGTTTTCTGGAGGATGAAGGAAATAGAAGAGGTGAAGCATTTCAAAATGTTCTTTAGAGAATCACCAAGGGTAGAAGATCCACCAACCTCCTCTGATACGGGATCTAAATAGAAGCTCTGCATGGCCAAAGTAGCCGCAGGCTGTTTTCACACTGTTCGGTTTGGTTATCTGAACCAGAGTTTGATTCCGTCTTCCTCCACCTGCCTTGACTCTTTCACATTGCATTATTTGGCTCAGAATCATGTTGGTTTTCTGTTATCAATTGTATGATAAATCAGTGATATTTTAGTAACATTGAAATACTATTTACTAGATTATAATACTATTACAGTTTTTTTATATTTTGAATTAGTTTTTATTTTTTATATTTTCATTTTAATTTTAATTTCAGTTAAAGTTTTAGTCATTTTATTGTATATTTCTATATTGTATAATAACAGAATAATTATTTAACAGAATCTTAGCTAGAACCACTAAAGTGTTTCCCACATTACACATTTCTATTTCTCATACCCACAGCTTTAGAGCTATAAGCCAAAGATATTGTTACAAACTCTTCATCAAACACATCATTCCTCTGAGACTCTGGATCAACGAATCAATTCTCATCTCTAGTCCTGACCTGCTAGCATGAAACGAGAGATTCGGTGTTGAATGTGCATTTCTTCTGGCCTGACAGGTTCTCGTCCCCTGTCTGTCTGTCTGTTTGCGAGAGTTAATTAGGTCAAAGATGGGCTGCCCGCACCAGACATGCTAAACCACACGAGGGACTCAGGAGGATCAGAATCCTGCTGGGCTCTTTCTATCTGGACAGCTTGAGTCTGGCCTGCTCAGCACAGTCATTGAGTTGCTGTTGCATTTGTAGGTGTAGGTGTCATTGTGAAAGACGTCATGAAAGTGCGGTCGCTGAGATGTGTGCTACTAGGAGCAGCAGAGGACACACAACTGAGGAGACATTGCACATGAAAATCATGCCACTGCTTTCATTAGCATGCTGTGCTAATGATAATTCATATTATAATGATGCCCATATTATGGCCGATGCCGATAAGCATAATTACTTTTATTTTGGCCAATAATCAAAAAGCCAAATATTAAAATTCTATTAAATACAATTTTGTCTAAATAAGTTCAAAATAAAACACACACACAAATAAATAAATAAATAATTTTAAAAGCTTCAAGTAAATTTAGGCATCACAACATTATAATGTGAATTATAAAAACTAGATATCATATTTAAGTGTTATTAAATTATTAGTGTTTATAAAGATTAACTTCAAGTGAGTGTTAGATTATGGCAAAAGCAATCTAAAAATATATGAAATTATATTAGATATTTAATAGTAAAAATGGAAATGGGAATGAGCATTCACATTTTAAATTGCATTTGCCATCATCTGACACTCAATTAAAGTTAATCTTTATAAAGAAATTAATTAAATAACACTGTAACATATAGGCCTAATCTTTATTGAATCTGAAAATGAATATACATTTTTCCTTTTTTCATCATATTATAATGCTGTGATGCCTAAATTCACTTGTAGCTTTTAAAATGACTGATCTGATTTTTAATATATAATTTATATTAGATATTTAATTGTTAATGCTTAACTGATATATAAAATTAAAAAAAAATAATAAAAAATCTAATCATTTTGAAAGCTACAAGTGAATTTAGGCATTATAACAATAATGTGCAGTATGAAAAATGGATATTCATTCTGATTACATTGAAGTGCATTATCAAATTATTAGTGGTTATAAAGATTAACTGAGTGTTAGACTGACAAATGATGATCTAAAAATAGAGGAAATATCTCATATCAACAGCTACATTTTTTTTTTAAAAGTCTAATAAAATGTAAACAATTTTTTTTTTTATCTTAAAAAATAAAGATGTTAATTTACATTTTAACTAAAACCATATCACAAGCATCACATTATGAGGCACTAAGGACTTCAAATCTGGATGCACCCTTAAACCCCATCCTGCATCGCACCACAGCTTCACCATTTCAAAAAGTGTTTCTCTTAACACACCAGATTGCATAACACATCCACATATCCAAAAGTAAAATTACATTTTTCATCGGCTTCAAACCACCAACAGAACAACACCTTCCCCTTTGAGAAATGAAAGCATGCTGGTACACGCTGACACAAGACAAACTTTCCTGCATGTCTCAGTGTCCAAGAACCAGTCACCTCCCTGTATTTCTCATGTAGTACACCATCCAGAGATGAAATAAAAAATGAGGACCAGGCCAGGTCTTACAAAAGAGAAGATAGCTCAGTCGTATACACCCTAATCTCAGCAGTTTATCTTGATAATATGTCTCAATATATTTAAACAAACATCTTTGCTTTTGCCACTAACCATTTTTCTCTACTAAAAATTAACAAATGGTTTTAGGCAGTGCTTAGTTAGATCTTCTTTTCAGTCACCCTCATCACCAAACAACAGACAGCAGGTATGATTAAAACCAAGTGTCTATCACAGTTCCTGGGAAAGTTCCAGTTCTGAGAAGATACAGACACAAACCCTGGAGGCCAGAAGATATGCACCCCTTAAAAAATTCTGATAAATACAAAATCAAAAAAAAAAAAAAATCATAAATAATACAAAATAAATTAATTTTTTTAATTTGTGATCAGTCACCCTGCTCTATAGATACAGATTTCAGTATTCGTCAATTAAAAAAAAAAAAATGCTAGTCAAGCATGTTTGTTTGTGTATGAGTTCACACCGGGTCGGCATGACATTACACTAATCCTTCTATATATCAGTAAGACCTCGATTCAAGCTTCCTGACACAAGCTGCCCAGTCAAACCATGACAAACACAGATACACAGGATAGACCTAATGTTGCAACTGAAGAATCCTGCTGAGATCCACACAACAGAGAAAGCAAGAAAGCACATGCTCAGCATGGTTATCAAATCACTATTAGCCTATTCTGCTGACAATATTCATACTGTACTACATTACCAAATGTGTCAGAAGCGTGTCCGTTTGGACTTGTTTGTGTGTCAGCATGCTTGATTTTCACTCCGGCTCATCAGATCTTTTCAGCCAGACACTCCACAGACATTCATTCATTAAAGTCATCCTGAAATATTTACTCATGGGGATCTACGGCGGTGTTGGGTCATAGCAAAATGTGATACGTCATGTGATTAGACCTGGGGGAACATTAAAACAACCACAAAAACAACCTTTCTAAAACAAGGATCAGCCACACAATATAGTACTGAAACAACAACTTAAAGCACTGATGTGAAAGACACCTGTTGGATCACTAGATAATATATATTATTGATATTTCTTGTATTCATAATACATGAACACCTCTAACATCCAAATAATCTTTAAACAAAAAAAAAAAGTTGTCAGATTTTGTTTTGTACTGTTGTACTGTAATTTACAACCAGCATCAATTAAAAGGTCTGAGTACTCAAAAATTCTTTCCATTTAGAATTTTTATTCAATTAAAAAATATATTTTTTAAATATTTAATAAATGAGTACAAATATTCCATGTGTCATCTATAATACGAGCTAATAAAAACAGAATTGTAACAAACATCACATTATGAAGACATCAATTTTTAATATTACAGCATAAATACATATAATAACATAATATATATTTTCTTAAATTAAATATTGTGGTTAAAAATGTTAAGGGAGGGGCTCTTGGATCCTTCTCAGAGGAGCCAATCAAATGAATCTAAACGAGAATCAGTCGGGAACGAGACTCGATTGAACTGCCTGCAGGGTCCCTATAACAACATTCTCTGCTTTTAAACAAAACTGTTTTGCTCAGAAATAAACACAACTTCTCAGTTTGGAATTAGGGTGAATATTTCCCCAGCGGGGAGATACTTTGTGTCTGTTCTAAAGAAGAGATATTTTGTAACCGATACATATTTTCCTGCTGACGTCACAGAGAGTGGGGCGATACTTTATCAAAATTCGCGGATATTTAGTAACCGCCTCGCGGACGCTTTAAATCAGTTCTACGAGGGAAATAAGCAAAGAAATCAGGAATGAAAGTCTGAAATGCACATGCATGCAGTCACAGGGCTTGACACCGCCTGGGCTGAAGCTTTGGACTGATTCGCAGAGGTTTTTTACCACACAATAGTGTCCAGATTGCCTCACTATAGCTGTTCATGTCGAATCATAAACTCGCCACTGGAACGAGACTCCTCTCTTACACGGAATATGTGTGTATTTTTTCTTCTTTTCCCTCCTCCTGTTCCTCCATTGCTTACTGGCGCAACAGCGTTTCATTTGAACAGTCTCTCGTGCGCATATTGTGAAATATCAGCTTTGCCTTCCTTCTAGTTTGGCTGGGCGCACACGAACGTATATAGACCGTTAGTGTGCAATATACAGATATTTCTCCACATAATCCCACACTATCAATGGGCTGTGTCCGAGCAGTTCAGACTCTTCAGCAGAGAAAAATCACTTTCAAAAGCTCCTTACCTTCTTCCACAAGAGGTTAGTCCGGTTTGGTGAGATGGCTGTGCCTGTATCTATTGTTGTAGACGGGCCGTTATCACTTTGAGAGCTGATAACCGCGGGGAAAGCCCTGTTTTACAGTACTTCTGTCGTTTTCTCCCTCTCTTTGCCAGATCTACCAGCAGCCAGGGCGCTTCAAGTGACGTAACGAACCGGGATGCGCGCGCCCGACACTGGCCTCCATGACCGTCGTGACGTGCACGAGCTCTTCTGCACTTCTCATGCGAGGTGCACCACGTAGAGGGGGATATGCTGGTTATATACAGTGGGGTTCAAATGTATCAGCTAATATTTATTTATTTATTTAAGTAGAAGTAGTTGAAATTTTATAGCAGTTAGTTCACATATATTTATATTTAGTTTTTAGATATTTAAATATAAATTTTAATATTTATGTTTGCATTTTTTTTTTCAAGAAATAGTTGATCTTTTACACAAGTGAGTTCACATGATCAGTACCACCACACTGCTTTATTGCTATTAGTGACCTGTAGTGCAGAATACAACTTATTTCTAAGTAATTTTATCAGTTAAATTGTGTGTATATATATATATTATATACATACATACAATTTATATTTTTCATACCGTCGTCAATCATATACACAAAGAGCAAAGAAATTGATCCAAAATGCTGCCCAGATATTTAAATGTCTTTTTTTCTTGACATGACCGCTGTTTTAGAACATGTTAGAACATATATACTGTATATACAGGTGCATCTCAGTAAATTAGAATGTCGTGGAAAAGTTGATTTATTTCAGTAATTCAACTCAAATTGTGAAACTCGTGTATTAAATAAATTCAATGCACACAGACTGAAGTAGTTTAAGTCTTTGGTTCTTTTAATTGTGATGATTTTGGCTCACATTTAACAAAAACCCACCAATTCACTATCTCAACAAATCACGACATACTAATTTATTGAGATGCACCTGTATATATATATATATTCACTATATGTTAGTGAATTGCTGGTGATATTTTTAATTTTAAAATTGTTGTGGATTAAAATAATCTGGTAATGATTAAATGTAAATGTAAACAGATTAAACAACATCCATTCTGTTCAGATGTACCAATCATCACATCTTCAAATGTTCAGCACTGGAGATTGGAGCAGTATTTGGGGTTTGACTGATATTACTTGCTTGTGTAACTGAAGCATGACTGCAGGAAAAGGACTCACAGACCCAGACCACACTGATCAGGTTCAGGGTGTTAAGTTCCCTTACCCAAGAACATTTTATAAAATTAGGCTCTAGTCTCATTCCTTTTAACTATGTGATGCGTTATCAGATCAGCATTATCAGGAAATTACATCATTATTCTTACTGAAAGCCTTTTCAAACCAATTCCATTTACATTAATACTTGAACTGTACTGTCTAATCTTGATAAATTATTATTATTATTATTATTATTATTAATGCTTTAGTTACTGTAGGTAAAACCACGTCAAATTTACTTTGCATTTAAAACTTGAAAGGGATTTTTTTCATTACTTATTTCCATTTGCCTGTTTCTATAACAGATATAGTCCACTAGAGGCCAGTAGAGATCTTCCAATACAGTTGAGAGATCAAAACGAGAGAACAACCTACAGTTTCCTAAATTTCAAGGTCACTGCTTAGTCATATTTGAAGTTATCCTAACTGGAGAAGAAGGGCAGTTTTTAAGCATATTTAATAAATTAATTTTATTCTGAAGCCCAGTATAAAAAACTTAAATGAGATATTTGAAACAGAACTCTGATCAAAATTAGAGAACACTTACAGATGCATACAAGTTATTGGTGTTAATCTGGCACCTGGTGCTAATTTCCTTAATTATATGACAAACCAGGCAGCATTCCTCTAATTTTCTCTGAGATTGCACGATGGCAGGCAGCTCTAAGGTGACTGAAACCCTGCAACAGGAGGCGGTCCAGATGAAGGCCCAAGGGATGACCCTTTCAGACATGAAAAGCTGGTCGTTCCAAATCTGTGATTTCTTGAATATTGCAGCTTTACAGTAACACTAATTCATTCAAGTCCCGCAAAAAGCCTGGTCGTCCACGTAAGACAAAAGCACGAGAAGACAGGATAATGCAGAGACTCTCAATGGGGAACTGGTTCAACACTGCAGCTGAAAAGGCTCAACAGTTCAGCGCTGAACAGGGTCTGGATCTGTCTTGGCACATTTAAGAAAAGTAGGACTGAAAGCACACTCTGCAGTGACCAAGCCTCTCATCAGCAGAAATAATCAAAAGACTAGGCTCACCTTTGCTGAGGAGCATGCTGTGTGGAGAGAGGAGAACTGGTCCAAAGTTCACTTTAGTGATGAGAGCAAGCTGAATTTATTTGGGTCTGATGGGAAACATTTAATTCGGCATCAAACTGAGGAAAGACTGAACCCCGAGTGTGTAAGTCAGTGAAAGGTGGAGGAGGAAGTGTCATGGTTTGGGGGATGTTTTCTGCAGCAGGAGTTGGGCCTCTTATACAGATACATGGCAGGGTGAATGCAAATGTTTATCAGAACCTCCTTCAGCAACATGCGGTTCCTTACCTACAAGCATCTCCCAATCAGCCTGCAATTTTCATGCAAGGCAATACTCCCATCACACTGCAAAACAGGTAAAGCAGTTCCTTGAAGCTAAGAACACTGAAATAATGAAATAGCTGGCACAGAGTCTTGATCTAAACCCGAATCCTTGGTGACAAAGTTATGGCTAAGAAACCCTCTACAGTTACCGAACTGTGGAAGAAGAGCGGACCAAGATCACACCAGAGCAGTCTGAGAAACTTGTGATGTCCTGTGGCCTCAGATGTGCTGAAGTCATTCATACCAGGAGCCTCTACACTTCCTACTAATTTCTGACCGCTGTAACCATCCAAAATGTTAGTTTTCGTGCTACAGTGGTTACTGTTCTCCAATTTTGATTACTGTGTTTTCCACAAGATAAAGATTTTTTTTAAATGCATTGGATACTTTGTCAAATGTTAACAGGGGTATAACTACAGCTGCAAACTTTGAGCGATAAAGATTAACAATATTTCAGAAAAAGTCAAATATTTATAGATTGTTCTCTATTTTGATCTCCATCGTTGTGTACTGTATAAAACACACACACACACACACACACACACAAACACACACACATTTGTTGGCTTTCCATGTTTTAGGGGGACATTCCATAGACATTTTGTACAGAAAAGGTGCCAGAGATCATTTAAACTGGATGGTAAACAGTTGAGTATTTCACAATAAACGTTTATTAATAGTTGGGACAGTATGAAGTATAGAACACATATTAGATGATGAATTTGTGTTATTTGATTATAGTTTTACCTTTGGGTAATATAAATCACTAGACAGTCTATGATAAATGTATGTTGTTTTATAGACCCTTTAATATAATGCCCTCCGTAGAAATAAATAAAAAAGACCATAAAATAATTATGTGTCCTATAAGAAATATCAAACCCAGAAGGAAGTCTTTCATGATTGGACTGGTCTGAAGAATGTGACTTTCATCATAACCATTATTGAGACCCTAAAATCAAACAACATGAAAGAAACAGTCAATTTGCTTATCATATTGTTTGTGGCATACATATTCAACATTGGAATTTTTTTCTGTATCACCTGTATGATCTCACAGACAGTTTACTGCTTAGGATAGAGACCTGTCTTCTGCACTCCAAAAGCGGTGATGAAGATGTTGATGATGACGGTGAGAAACACCAGCACAGTGGCCACATTGTTTATTATGTCCAACTTCCTCTGATTGGCCACGTCATTCAGGTTTTTGCGTGCTGAAAAGGGAAGATTGTATGAAAAGGAATCACTAAATATAAAACATCTGATTTGGATTTGTGCTAACAAAAATGAACCCTCTAAAATCCTTTACAGGTTTTGTGTATAATGCATGATGGATTTCACTCTCACCCATGTGGACAAAGAGAGTCCCCGCGAGCACTTGGAAGAAGAGTGATGTGGCGATGAGGACGATGACAGTGAGGTAGTACTTGAACTCGGGGCCCTGCTCCAGGACGGCTTTCAGCTGAGAGGCGTTTGCCATCAGCAGCGCCACATCCAGCATGCTCTCTGCTACACTCTTCTTAGTGGCATAATGATTAATGTTAAGAGGTTCTGCAGGCTGAGAGAGAGAAATCAATAATAAAATAAAATTAAATGATTAAATCAAATTAAATATTTTTTTCTGCTATTGTAATTAGCATTGAATGGCATTGAATCCACCTTTTATGGTACACATATATGCAGCTTCTGTTGGCACAGGTGGCAAAGTTCTGGCATGCATCTAATGGGTCTATTGTATAAAGAACATTTTCAGACTCATGTATACTAATTTCAGATGCATTAATTCACCTACAATGTGCTGGAATATTTTCAGTGGAGTAAAAAAAAGGCCATCCACCTTGAACTAAATGAACCCATTTAAATGACAAAACTCCTGAGAATATTTTAAAATTATTTCTTCTTGAGACATTATTATTCTTGAGTTTTCTCCCCTTTTTTCACACAAATAGTTTATTTCATACACAAAAATATAAGTATATAATTACCTATTTATACCATTTATACATAAAAATCTTCAAACAGAACATAATTATATACATAAGCTATAATATTGAACAAGTGTAATGAAAATTCTAATATGCATAATAAATATATATACATTAAAATATAACTTTAAAGTCTTCTCCATAGATGTTTGATGTTGGCAATTGCCATCATAAAAGGTATGGCTTTATTTTTTGAAATGCACTACAGAACTATATGAATATTTATAAAGTTTGTCATGATAAATTAATGCACTGACGTACTGTGTGTAGAATTTAAGTATTGAAATTGACATTTTAGTTACCCATTTCTACCAATACATGGCAGCATTTCACTATTGATTTTTTTCAATCTGCAGTGTTCTTTTTGACAACTTGGGAGCGCTAGATATCCTTGTTTACATAATCTTTTTACAGTAAGTTTTTATTAACTATTATTATTATTATTATTATATGAATAACTAAAATATTATGATAAAATATGTAAGAAATAATTATATATATAATTATATATAGTAATATATATGTATATATATATATATATATATATATATATGTGTGTA